TCCCTCCCCCCCCGCCAAAGACCTTGAAGAGCCATACCATGAATCTGTGATCTTTTTGTTCACGTTTATGCTTTGGCATCTACAGCAGTCTTGTTCCTAGCAGTTTCCCAATTTAATTATGAAATCCTATAGAAATTTACTGGGGGGGAGGGGGTTGGTTTTGTTTTTTATTTTTAAAAATACGCTAGCTGTGGTAGCATGAGTAGGACGGCTTTCTCTGTTGGCTGATTAGAGAGCAGATAAATAATCTAGTCTGTGCCACTCATAATCCCGTAGACCTTCACTTCCTTGATTGTTGCTAAGCTGAGGAGTCCATGTCTATTTAGTTGGTTTTCTCAAGAAAGATATTCCATGTTTCTGATCCTTGTTATCCTCTGAGCCTCGTGGTTCTGCTGGTGTCATTTTGTAAGGGAGTAATCAGAAATGTAAACAGTTTTCTAAATGTGAACCTTTTAGATTTTTAGTGACCGTGGTGGTTTCTGTTACGTTTGTTCTTTTCTGTTAGTTCTGTTGGCTTCCAGATATTTGAGCTGATATGTGAAGATGGCTCTGAAAACAGTGCCTAGAAACATCATTCTCGAGGAGCTAAAGCCAATTTAGAAACTACTATGTGGATATTTGTGCAATTGCAAATGTTTATCTCATCACTATCTGCAAACCAGTGCACATATTGTGGGCTTAAACAGAAGGTTTCAACTTCATTTAATGTGCAGTAACAGTCATAATCAAGCATAAGAAAGGTGATGTGTATGGATATAATGTCTAATGTAATTTGTGAGTACCAAAGTCACGATCCCAAAATTGCTTAATTATGTGCGCTGTTTTGAGCAGCAGTGCTCTTCAAAAGGCTTGCTTTGAGCAGCAGTGCTCTTCAAAAGGCTTGCTGGTTTTACCTAATCTTTGCCTTTATTGGACAGATCTTTGAATTCCTGGACCCAGGAGGATGAGATTCTCGCTAGCATCCTTTCAAGTTAGAACTAAATAAAAGCAGTGTTGATCCCAGGTGGCTTCAGAGGCTTCTGGTTAGTCTTGGTCAGACTGGCCTCCAAGAAAAGCTGCTGCTTGGTCTCTGCAATTACATATAGCCTCATGCATCACGTGGTTATAACTACAAGGGTGGGTGGGTGAGTTGCTGTTGACTCTATTGCCCTTTGGAACTAAAGGAGCTTACCTCTAGCTATGTTTAGTGTTTGGAGGCAGAGGAAGGAGCATATTGTGTGGGGTTTTGTTTGCATGGTAAGGTTTTGGTAGTGAGGGGGCTACAGGGGTGGCTTCTGTGAGAAGCCCAATCAGCTTAATTTTCAATTCCCAACAAGGGGAGATGGTAACTGGTTGTGCCAACCGTGCCCTGATGGGGAACAGTCCCTTGCAAGGTTGGAGCATTACTGCACATTTGGACCAGGAAATACATTTTCCCCCCATTATTGCTCCAGTGCTCAGCATCGCGTGATTCTTCTCCAACTCTAGGTTTTGACTTACTTGATAAATTTTCTAAATGGTAAATTTAGTTGCATTATTGTTTGCCCTTTTTCTGGAATGCTTATGAGCATGGTGTACAGCACATTCATTTAGGGTTTCTCTGAAAATTTCAATTCCTGGTGTAAACTAACAACTTCTATCAACTGTTGAGCCAGTTGTTAATATACAAGGACAAGTTCCTTCTTATCCCATGTCACCTTAAAATCTTGAAGAACTCCTGGTAAGAGATCTTGCTGCATCTGTCTTGGAAGTCTAGGTGTTCTGTCAACCAGATCATCCCTCCCCATGTGCTTGCTTGGGGAAAAAAGAGATTTGTGAAGCATGATTTCATTTTTTCATTGTATTTATCTAGCTGTCTTCTGTCTTGTGTTTCTCATAACTTTAACCGATTTTTCTGGTATAAAGTTCAAAGTATTCTGCACTTACCTCGATGTTTCTTTAGAGCCCTTTAAAAACCAAACAGAAAAGTAACTAAATTTTTGTAATTGCCTTTATATTCTTTCCAGGCAAAGAAAGTGTCCTTACTTCAGTTATTTATTGCATATTTTTTCTCTTTTTTTTCCCTGCAAGTACGGCTTAAGCAATTATTATGAAAAATTTGGACATGTAGAATGTTAATCTGGAACCATGGGACTCGAAGGAATTCCTTTTCTGTGGCTTTTGAGTAAACATTTGGGATTAACTCAAGGTTTAATGAATAAAAATAGGTCTTTCACTTGCTTAGAAAATCATGTGTAACACTAGCTTTTGAATAATCTTCACCTTGATTTTTATTTTACTTTATTATAACACTGGGAGCAATGAATGCTTTTGCTGCCAAAAGATAAGATTTGGAAAAGCTGGGGGGGAAAGGAGGAGGAAGGTTGGATATTCAATATCTAAGCAACTTGAGGGGTTACTTTAGAAAATAACATTACATTAAAAACTGTGCTCTGTTGAAAACTTACTTAGCACTCTTCTTCCAAGTGACTTGCAGAGTAAAACAGCACCATTTGCTATAGTAAATAATGAAATCACAAGTGATTGTCTTGCATTACAAGTGACAATGTAAAGGTTTGTGATACTAACATTTAGACTGATCTGTGTGGTGTCTTGTAAATTGGAGCATGTGGATGACGCAACAGCATGGCTTGAATAGATGCTTATGTTCTCTTGTCTCGACTCTGTTGGTTGTCTTTCAGTAAGTTCACTGTTAACAGTCCTTTCAAAATTTAGCAGCATACTTTGAGGCAGGTGTTTTATGAATGAAATTGCATGATTTTGCAGTAGACTTACATATTGGTCCTGACAACTCTAAAGACTTATGAATTATAATGTCTACTTTACTTGTTTATTGTAAAACTAGAGGCACTGTTTGTTCCTTTACAATCCTAACAAATGTAAAAAACATTTCTATTCCTTTTTCTTGTTATCTGCAATTTACTTTGTTTCATTTGGATATTAGCAAGAGAAACAGTGCAGTCTTTTGGAACATAATACATAAAGGTATAAAAAATAACATGCATGTAAATGTGCAAATCAGTATTCCTTATTAGAAGGGAATTAGAACAAACTTCTGAAGTATAAGTTTTAGTTCATGTTATTTTCTTATTCAAACTTGCATTAAGACCAAATATTCTTTGCTTCTAACAATGCTTGCAGGTTCGATAGGCCTAATATTAAAATTTTCTTTTGACTTTAAATGAATGTAACTCTTCTCTGTATAAATTGTTTTTTTCCAGTTTGGGAATACATAAAAGTAACGAGAACTTAGAGGTTTACCTAGCCATGTAAAATTCTGATTAACACTTGTGGAATGCTTAATAAATCAAATACCAATCTAATAAATTAATGCCTCTTTCTCTGTAGGGTGCTGGTCAAGACAAACTTGGAATATATGTCAAGTCTGTTGTGAAAGGAGGTGCTGCAGATGTGGTTAGTAATATTCTTAAACATCAGTAGTTCAAAGGTAGAAAGATCCTTTGGAAATGCTTTTAAATCCTTTGTTTACTAGTATGTCTGAATAATTGTTTTAATTTAGACCATGTTAGCACTGGTGTATGAATTTTCTTCTCTCCTGAATATGTATTTAGGATGGTCGTCTGGCTGCAGGGGATCAGTTGCTCAGTGTGGATGGTCGAAGTTTGGTGGGCCTGTCCCAGGAAAGGTACGGAATGCTTTCCTTGGGTGTCTTTACATGGAGGAAATGCTAGAGTAATAATGTACTGAAAAGGGCTGAAGCTTTTTTTTTTTTAATATGTTAGGCTTTGTCTTGGCTTTTTATAACTGCCTATGAATAACCTTAGTAATAAGTTCAACTGTTCGTGTAGTATGATATGGTTTATCTTATGTAGTATGTAGTTCAACTCTTCTGTATGTGATATGGTTTATCTATATAGAAGAGATTGTATTATATGTTTGGGCTTTAGTCTTGAGCAGACTTTATTTAGCTATGATTTTAAATATTTTGGTTTCTGACCTTTAACTGCAGAAATTGGAAATAGTACTTGCCTGTAGGTGTCTGTTTAATAAGCATATCTTTTAATCATCATCTTGTAATTTTTTTCAAAGTGATTTTAAGTATTAATCAGAATGTTTTGTCAAACAAATGATTATTAGAATAAACGTGAGAAATCATGACATACAAACTGATAATAAGGAGAACTAAATAATACATTGCCTAATTTTGTTTTATTTGCTTTGGCTTTTATTGCAGGGCAGCAGAACTTATGACTAGGACAGGTTCTGTAGTAACACTAGAAGTAGCAAAACAAGGAGCAATTTACCATGGTCTGGCAACCCTGCTTAATCAGCCATCCCCCATGATGCAAAGAGGTAAAAATGCTAATATTATTTATGTTGTTAACAGCTTTATAAGTCTTAGAATGCAGAAAACATAGTAATTCACAGTAGCTTGCCAAATACTACCAAAATACTAAATCAGAGAAGAACTATAATTGCACAGAAAAGAAGCATTTCCTTTCTTATCAGAAGTTCATCTGTTTTTAAATATTGTTTGAAATTATGCTAATCTAATCATTAATAAATGCTTTGCATATGCACCTTTAGAAAATTGATGCATTTAAACACAGTTCTGATTTGAAATTATTTTTATTTTAACAAATGGAGTATAATGAATACAAAGGGTATTGAAATTCAGTGGCTTTTTTTATCCCTTTCATGAAAGTTTCTCTCGTCCTCTCGGAATCTGACTTCCTTGTAACCAGAGAGTGCAATATAATTACTAAGAAATAAATAGAAGCAGAAGCCCCTGGAACGTATTTTGCCACTGAATTTTTTTATTACTTTTTTTTAAACTAGAAATATTGAAACGTATCTTCTTATGTTTCTGTCTCATCATAAGTTGTTCTTGGATGTTTCTCCAGTGTTATATTTCATCATCCTGCTTCAGTGAACTAACAAAAGACTTATTTAAGTCTTATATAAAATAATTTTGTAAAGGAAGTAGTTTTTAAAGGAAGATCTTTTCTACATACAGGGTAGTACTACAGTACAGAAATGAATGGGTTAAAAGAATAAATCCTTATTATCACAGTTTACAACACCATCCCAGATGCCATACGCCTCTGAGAGTCAGCAAGAGACTTTTCAGTAAAGCACGTTTGGCTTTTCCGAATATTGTGGTACCTTTTCAAAAGCTCTTTGGAAGCATGCAAATCAAAGAATCCTGTATAGTTGATACAAGAGTGGGACAGTGTATCTGAAGAAGTCAAGATTTTAAAATCTAGCATTTGCTTTACTGGGAGCTCATTTTTAATTACAAATACAAGGTAGCTCTGGTTTGAAAGGTAATACGCTAGACAGTAGTTTATATAAGTGGAAGGGGGAAAATACATATCCAACTGTTACAGTTTCTGACCGCCGTGGCTCAGGTAAACCTCGACCAAAGAGTGAAGGTTTTGAGCTGTATAATAACTCCACTCAAAATGGGTCACCTGAGAGCCCTCAGCTGCCGTGGACCGAGTACAGTGAACCAAAGAAGCTGCCAGGGGATGATAGATTAATGAAGAACAGAGCCGATCATCGCTCCAGTCCCAATGTAGCAAGTAAGTAAGATGATCCTTCTTTTGAGGGTAGATGCCTCCTCCACTAGTTTTAGAGGCTGTTGAATTCAAAAAGGGAACATTTGTTTTTAAAAATGGATTAAGTTTAAAATGCCAATGTAGTAGTAACATGTGGAGCAAGCCTCTTGTTAGAGCTATTCAAAGGAAAAATCGTAGTTATTTTGTGAATACTATTCTTTTATGAAGTTATGTAAATTATTATTAACAGTCATGTAAATGCTTCCTTTAACTTTCCAACAGATCAGCCTCCAAGCCCCGGGGGAAAGAATGCTTATGCATCTGGAACTACCACCAAAATAACCTCAGTCTCTACTGGAAATCTTTGTACAGAGGTCAGAAGTGGCAAGCTAAATGCTGGCTATTAAACTTTCCTTAGCTATCAATAGCATCAGTGTGCTTGAGTCAAACCAGTGTCTGTCTGAACTATTTGAACATAATGCTTGTGCTAGTGACTGGGTGGGGGTTTTGCTTATTACGGCTAATGAAAGATTGAGACAGCTTTGAGTGATTTTATTAAATTTTGTTCATGAAGTCCTTGTGATCTCTTAGGTTTGTTCAATATTGTGTACTTGTTTTCAGACCATAAAAACATGAGTCATAACCACAATTATATTTGATACTAGACAACCTCTTTATCTCCTGTTCAGACAAATAACGCTCTTTTGAGCCAAATGAAAACATTTGGAAAATGTTACAGATCTGTGTGACTATAAAATTCTACCTTATGTTTTTTCCACCTTTTTCAGGAACAGACTCTGCCCCCACGACCTGAAGCTTATCCCATCCCAACACAGACCTATACTAGAGAATATTTCACATTCCCAGCTTCAAAGTCCCAGGATCGAATGGGTCCGGCTCAGAGTCAGTGGCCAAATTATGAAGAAAAACCACAGATCCAGGCAGAAAGTAATCATTCCATCAATACTACAATGCAGGTGAGCAGTAATTCCTTTCAATATAAGAAAAAAAATAGAAAGAAACTGCTTACTTTCCACTCCCAGACTGCTGGAGACATTTTTGCAGAACAGTCAACTCTCTATAATCTCTGAGCTGTTGAGGACAAACTGTACCACAGGGGGGAACAACTGTACTTTCGCCAAGATTGGCTTGGGTTCAGAAACCTTACTTTTTTTCCCCTCCCTAAAATTTATGTTGCCATGTTCTACAGACCTGTTCTCTGGCATGTTTTTATCCCCCTGTTAGAAGTAATGGGGTGTAGATGGTAGTAGGGTTTGTCTTGTAAAACATTTTGTGGTTTTCTGAAAAGCAAACTAAATCTTTCACTCTTCCAAGAAGGTTTACGTGGAAAATTATCTCTGCCTGCAGGATGCATTGTTTAAGTGACAAAGTGAAGTATTAAAAATGAAATAAAACAGTACTTTGAGACCTATCCAAGGTCTTCATTGAAACATATTCCCTGCTCTCAGTTTAAAAAACAAAACAAAAGAAACAACACTCCCGCCTCCCAAGTTGTGTCTGTTGTCAAAGTGCAGATGCTTCTTGACCTGAAATGAATTTACCCCCACTGTACCATTATAAATTCAAAAAATAATGTTGTTGTGCTCTTTGTAAAGAAGAACTTTACTCAAATCCATACAGGAAATTAAATCTAGATCTACTAAATCCAATCACTGGATCATCTTCTTCTCTAATCCACCAGAGACTTAAAAATATATAGAGAAAACTTTTTTGCAATTTCTTAATTTGTTATAAAAGCAGAGCCTTACCCCAGACTCCGTGTGTTTTACTTTTGGAAAAACAGTGTCATGTAAAATATCTTGAGATCGTGTCATAGAAGGAAAGTAAGGATTGATTATTTATTTCTTATACATATAGAAGCAAGTGAATTCAGTAAAAAGGCAATTGAATAAAAGTATTATAGATATCAAATCCTAATTATTTCAGCTGTTAAAAAAATAGATGTTATACCCGAAGTCAGATGGTCGTTTTGAAGGATAATGCTGCAAATTCAATGACTGTGGCAAATAGCTATGGAAATATTTTGCTGAATTTCCATGGTCAACTCCTTCACATTTCATTATTTCATTTCACCTAATCTTAGCTGCATAATTAACATCTAGGCTCTCTTTGTCAGTGGTGGGAGGCTAGTATCCCCGTCTCGTAATGGGATGAGTTGCTGCCTGGACGTACATCTCTCCCCTGTTTAAGACAAGCTTAAGTGAGTAGCTTAGATGAGGTGGTTAGAACTGGTGAGATGAACGCCGTCTGTTAAAGTTGTTGTCAGATACCAAATTTGAGCTGTGGTCTTAAGGCGGAATGCAGTGCAGAAAAGCATTTTCATAAAGCAAACAGTTAGAAGCTTTAGCTCCTCACAAGCATTGAAAGTGTATGCAATTTTTCCCCACCATACAATAGTTCTTTTAAGTTGAAAATAGAGGAAAACAGACTTTTTAAAAAAAACTTAAAATTTTTTTAAAAAAATAAATCCTTCTAATCTTTACAGTGAGAACTGGGCCTGTTAAAAAAAAAAAAAAAACAAAAAACCAACAACAAAAAACAAAAAACAAACCCACCGTAAGCTACTGACTGATGTGAAATGCGTGTTTGCCTGTTTTCTGTTCTGAAGGCATTAGCAAACCGTTTGGCTAGGTGCATCTTTACAGCAAATCTAGCACAAATAGCTGTGTGTTCAGCTCTGCTGGACTAATAGAGCATAAAAAATATACTTGTTCATCTCAAAGGCGGCATTCTTTAGAGGTCATGGTTAAGGTCATTGATGGAGGAAAAAGAAAAGGAGTTTGCTTTGTTAGTCTTCTCTCAGTATGATAATTGGTACATTATGCGTTCAGTGCTTAGTAGTTCATAGCATTCAAATTATGAAAATATTTGCTTCAAGAAAGTCATTAACAGATTTGATAAGCCTAATTTATGGTCCAGTATTCCTTTTCAGGAGGTTGTACAGGACAGTGAGATCCTGAGCTTGTATTAAAAAAAAAAAAAAAAAAAAAACAAACCAAAAACGACTTGGTGGTTGATGCACTAAAAAAGCAACAAAAGTGCAGACCGATACACTTGTGCCCCAAGAGCAGTTGGACTTAGACCAGACTGTCCAGGCTCCATGCCCGTGAATGGCACTGTAGTAATGAGAGCTTCCTGTGGGTCACCTCGCCTGTTAGTGGAGGAGAGTGGGTAGAGGCTCCCTTGTCTCTCCCTTGGCAGCCTTTCTGTTTGCCTTCCCAACAGGAAAACTGTTCTGTCAAGCCAGTTGAAGCCTGAGTGGCAGAGCTGGAATGCCCGAGCTGCTCTGCCAAGCTGCTAGGACTCTCATGCTTACATGTGGGGGAGGGCTGTCAGGAATAGTCCTGAGAAATTGGGCGAGCTGAGGACGTTTTCAGCTTAAACTCCATTTTGCGTTCATCCTTCCTCCTATTCCAGGTTTCCAGGCATTTCAGAGGTTGCAATGTCTTTCATCACTCGAATGAGTTTAAAGGACTGAGAAGAATATTTAATTGTTGGGTTTGGGAAACTTACTGGGCATGGAAATGCTGAAATTCAGTAAAAGTAATTACCTTCAGTAATAAGAATGCAGTCTGTGAGCCATTTTCAAATATGCTTTAATATATATGGACTATGAAATACATGCCTTGTTTAATTTTTTCCAGCGCATAGCTCGTTCCCAGGAAGAACTCAGAGATAAAGTTTTCCAGCCTGAGAGGAATCGTTTGGAAGTTGTTATACGGAAGGACGTAGAGTACATCGATCGGAAGTCAGACAGCGATCAGTGGATAAATTCGTCTGTGGATTCTAGCACGTCTAGCCAAGAACACCTGAACAATTCATCCAAACCAGTCTCGCCTGGTTCTTGTTTAACTAAAAGTGGACCTGGCCGTTGGAAAACTCCAGCTACTAGCCAGCCGACTCCAGTGGCCATTTCCCAGCCCATCAGAACAGATCTTCCTCCTCCACCGCCACCTCCTCCAGTGCATTATGCAGCTGAATTTGATGAACTACAAATGGAATTGCCTCTGCCTCCCCCGCCTCCTCCAAATCAGATAGGAGCACAAGCATCCTCCCAGGTAGCTGCTGCTGAGCGTAAAAAAAGAGAAGAGCATCAGAGGTGGTATGAAAAGGAAAAGGCACGTTTGGAAGAAGAACGAGAAAGGAAACGTCGTGAGCAGGAGAGAAAACTGGGCCAAATGCGTTCTCAGCCACTAATTCCTACTCAGCCTGTGGTTCCTCCTGTTTCCCTTCAGCAAGTGAAATCAGAAAAACCTTCAACTTTGCAGAGGTCTCAAGAAACAGTCATTCGAGAGTTGCAGCCCCAGCAGCAGCCTCGGACTATTGAGCGGAGAGATCTGCAGTACATTACTATCAGCAAGGAAGAACTGTCATCTAGTGATAGCCTCTCTCCAGATCCCTGGAAACGGGATGCCAAGGAGAAACTGGAGAAGCAGCAGCAGATGCACATTGTGGACATGCTGAGTAAAGAGATTCAGGAGCTTCAGAACAAGCCTGATCGCACAGCAGAAGAAAATGACCGCCTCCGCAAACTCATGCTTGAGTGGCAGTTCCAAAAGCGACTCCAAGAATCAAAGCAAAAGGATGAAGATGATGATGAAGAGGAGGATGATGATGTGGATACTATGCTCATCATGCAGCGACTGGAGGCAGAAAGAAGAGCAAGGGTAAAAGGGGATAATCCTTTCTAGACAAAAGCACTGTAAATAGATATCTTGGTGGGTTCTCTGGCTTTGTCCGAGTATTTTGATGTTCTTGTAGGGTAAAGGAGGATGAAGCTTTCTTAAATACCTTGAATTTAAAAATTGCTAACTTAAAGTGGCTTCACCAGTTAAGTGATGTGTTATGAAAGTATCATAGCTACCTGTTACAGAATCCAAGCTGGCAGTTGAATTTACTTTTCTGGTTGTGGGGAAAGAAATTCCCTGTGGATAAAGGGATTTTGCCATGTAGCTGGAGTAAAATTAGAAGGTTAAAAGTGGCAGGAATTTACTTGCAGGAAGGTAAGCAAAACCATTTGGAATGATGAAAGTCTGTAGGAGAATTGGGGAAAAAAAAAATAGTGTGGGGTTGGTTGTTTGGGGAAAAAAAAAAAGTGGGGGGGGTTGTTTTTTTTGTTTTTTTTTTTTTCCCCCCCCCCCCCCCCCCCCCCAATATATTTTCCTCTAAGTGTTCTTATTCACAGTCTTGGACCTAAAGGCAGACCCTGAGTGCATGCTCTTTCCAGGGAACAGTGAGCTGAACTGAGGTCCCATTTTGCTGGTCTTCTCCAAGCAGAGGCTGGGGCTAAGGCAGCTGCTGCCTCTAGCTTAACCACCACCTCAGTGGTGACCCCAGCCCTTTGGTGAGGAAGTGCTAGGCTGAGCTATGTGCATTTGGATACACCCTGACAGGGCTCCAGCTCATACATACCTGGATTTTGCATGGTATCCAACAAGGTTTGCTTACTTTAGCTTCAGCATTGTGAAAGCTCATAATATATCTAATAAGATAATACAACTGAATAGGATGATGAAGGTTTTTTATCACTGCTGGTGGCTGTTGTGTCTCAGAATCTGTTAAATCTATTGTTACTGGGAAATAATTTCTATAGGAAAATTTCTTTTCTGAATAATAGCACAGATACCAAAGCTACATACCAATAGTTATGCTTTGACAGGCTTAAAAACTAGCTCTGAGTGTCTTGTCTGTTGAAAAGTCGACTTAATTCTGTGATAAGCAAATTTAATTCTTGAGAAATGTTTGCATGTGCTTATTTTAACATTCAGAAATAGCTATTGGCTTGAGTAGTATTTGCGTTCAGGATTGTTTTGGCAGCTTGGTTTCCTAAACTTATTCTTTTCATATTTACTGCAGTCTGCATTGCTTTCCTTTTTTCTTGTGGCTAACTTTATTACTCTGTAAAACAATAGATACCTCAAACTTGGAAACTGAAGAAAGGAAAAGCTAAATGTATCTTTGGCAAACAGGTTATGTTAAAGCCCAGCATCACTAACATGTATTTGTAGCACGTAGGCAGTTACTTATAGGCATTAAAAAATCCATGTAAAACTGCTGTTTTAACAAACGGTGTCTTTAAAACTTTACTGTAGCAAGGCAAAAAACCAGCCAGTTGTATTGCATAATATTATGTCAGTCTTCTCTGTAAGTGCTGGATTTAAGATAATATTTGTGCATAAAGTTCTTCCAGCATTTTGGAACATTTCGAAACTAAAAAATAACAGTTGTCTTGAACTGAAGTAATGTTTGCATTTTGGTTACATTTCACTGTCTCTGCTACTAGAGATGCAATAAGTAGCATCTCTGGAGAAATACTGAGGTTTTGAGTAAGTCAAACTGATACTGATAAAAATTTCAGATTATTTGATTGTTTTCATTTCTGTATTTCAGAATTATGTCAATTCAGTTCCTCATTCTAAAGCAGCTGACTTAACAAATAAAAGAAAATGCTTTTGAAATAGCACAAGTCTAACCTATCTTTATTTTCACTGTGCATCTTTCTTTTTTTCCCCTTTCTTACTACCTGCAGCAGACTGCTGTGCCAGCAATCTCTGTTCTAGATTTGGTATGTTTGTTTCTTTCTCTTCAATATCTCTTTCCCATTTCAATTCCTGATATTATTAATTACCACTCTATGTGCTTTGGATGATGATTTGGCATCTTTGGGTGTTCCAAAATCGTTGTGATACAAGAAGCAGTAAGTTAACTGTAAGCATGCATTTGAATGTTTCCAGATGTGGTGACTCCTTTCCCTATGTTTCCTTCTTTTTAGATGTGATGTTCTGCTTGTAGCCTTGATTTGTGTGTTGTAGCAGTGCTCTAATATAAAACTGTGTATTTGATGTTTTGTGCAATCATCTTTATAAAACCGTACTAATAACTTTGAACAGGTTGTGAGGCAAGATTTCCTCCCTTCCCCACCCCTTCAGGTTTTAGAAGAGCTCTAGCAACACCACCATTCCTTTCCAATCCGAAGTGAAGTTGTCCTGAGAGCCTAATAATACAGCATACTGTTTCAGGACATGCTGAAACGTGGTTATTTACAGGTGTTACAATTTTCTCCTTAAAGTAAAAATGGATTGTAAACTCAGAAATTACTTCTGAACTAATATTTACAAGTAGGTCACATAAACATGCAATTATTAAGTTACCATATAATTTCAGTTTCAATTGGTTAATACCATTCTCTCCCATCTAAAACATGACAGGCTTTCAAACAGGAGCAGTAATTGCTATGACTCCAGCTAATTCTGTATTTTATTGCTCTCATTGGAAATGGGTACATGGAAAAAGAGTTCTGTAGTCTTCTAGAGAGGAAATACATCCACTTCAAAGTGTATTTCTGTATAATTAGTATATCAATTTGCATGAAGGGCAATGCTTGCAAGTTCTGTTAGTATAATTAATTTGCGCTGATGGAAAAAACCTGTAAACATAACTGTTGAAAATATAAATTTGAATATTCAGCGCTACTTGATTTTTTTAAAATCATCTTTTAAAATGCATACTTCAGATAATTTAGCAAGTCTGTCTAAGGTGTTTGGTTTTGTATCTGTGTGGTTTATCAGTGTTAAGCAGTTGACACCAGGGAAACAGGTGAAGCGTGTCGGCTTTCTGAATTAACGGGCAAGCCAGGAGTCGTGGATTTTTCAGACTTAGTATCTATCAATGTTTTTTTCTTACTACTACTCCTATATTGTTGTGCTTAAGCCTTGATCCCCAGAGCTGTGATGGGATAAAGTGCTTTGCCAAGCAGGCTGTAAACTTCTGGATCTTTCTGCGACAGGAGGTTGTAAAGGCAGAGACAGTATCATCAGCTTTAAAAATGGATTAGACAAATTCATAGACTTGATGCCTGTAAACAGCTACTCAGCGGATTACACAAGGCTGTCCCAGCTGACACTCTGAATACTGGGGAGATACCAGAAGAAATGGGCAGGCTCATGTGCAGTTCTTCTTGCCCTGGTCAGAGACACAATACTGCGCTAGATGGATCTGTGCCCTGAATCAGTTAAAGATTTATTATGTTCATAAATTTAGCTTTAAAAAAAGAAAGCACGCTAATTCTGAAATAGATGATGTTGAACGCTATACCCAGCAAATACCTCTTTTTCCTAATTTCCATCATTTTCATACTGTTCACATGACTTCCTGGGTATAGTTGCATCTATCCTATACTACTTCATGTACCCAAGGATTTACTTTGTAGTTTCTAAAGGGGGAAAAAAATACACTTTGGAATGCTCCATGCTTTGTTCTGTATGTCTGACATGAGCATTGGTGATAACTATTCTGCTGATTAAAAGGCTGGTAAAAGGTGATGAATAGTGAATGCATGAATTTTCAACTTGGCTAGGGTTTGTCTTTTTAAATTCCCTGGGCCACTAAAAGAATTGACCCAAGCTTTAGTTGTCATAAATGAATAGTTACAAATTTAAAGTTCTTCTGGAAGTTCTCTTAAAGCATTCCAAGCAGTGCTTGGACAAATGAATTTTGTCTGGAATCTGAGACTGCCTGGGTGCCTGCCAGTCCCGTGACCATCTTAGCATTTCTGATAAGGCACCGATGGGCTGGTGCATTACGAGGAGCGATAGCTCAGAAGAAAGATGGCCTTTTACGCCCTCTCTTAGGTAGGAATAGTGCTGCGAGCGTTGCGTTGGCAATAGGGGACAGAGTTGGGTGGGTGAGCAAACCATTGGCACTTGCCAGTAGAACTGGGACAATGCAGGGGAAAGAATTAGTCCTTTGTGCTAAGCTGCTTCGCTCAGTTACAGCTGGGAGGATGCACTTCTCTGTCACTCTGGCTGCGCAGCTCAGTTGTTTCTACCTGTTACGGTATAAACGTGCTGCTTTGGAGAAACCGTGGAAGTACAGTAAATCACATGAAAACATGGCTTTTAAACTAGAGAAAAACTAGTTTGGATTCAGTACTTCTCTATCCCAATATTCAACCTGGGAATCTTGTAGCCCTCTTACTAGAAACGGGAGGTGAAGCTAGCTTTCCTTAGCGTCTTGAAAATTAGGGGGTTCGATTTGAGCTGGGCACTGTTGCCTGCAAGCGCCATGGGTGCCTCACCATCCCACTGCTCCCTGCCTTCGCCTGGGAACGCTGCAAAGCGGAAATTTGTCACGAATAGTAAAGAAACAAAATGTCACACTCTGATAGTTGCTCTATTCCCGCTTGTGCCTTACATATCATTTTTGTCCTTTTTACTAGGAATTATGTTTAGAATAGCCTCTGACCTGGATACAGTTGTCTTTGCAATTACTATGGTTCAGCTGTTGACAACAGCACCCTGCCCAGTTTTCCCTTCTTTAAGTTATGATCACAAGAAAAGAGAACTTCCCTTTTAGTTTGAAATACGTTCTTGTTTAAGTGCATTTGAATAGGAATGTTTGCTACTAAGCGAAAAGGCATCTGTGCCGTAACCTGGGATCAGTAACTGCTGTGTTCAGAGATTTTCTCTAAATGCAGTTGGGACAAAGTCAAGGAGTTTTCATGTCATTTTTCACTCTGCAGTTTTGGGGGTTTTTGTGGGTTTGTTGGATTTTTTGAGAGGAAGTTGCTTCTCTTCTATAAACTCTTTTGAATTACTAGCTGTCTTTTCTTTTGACAGCAATATTATCTCCTTTGCTAAAATAATGTCTTTTTAATAACCAAGAGAAGAAGAGGTCTTAATCCGAGCAGGGAGTTGGTTAACTACTTTATTCCCTGTTCCCTACTCTACTGTATGTAATGAGCTTGATCTCTATTTTATGTCATTTTCAGTTAGGAATTACAAAAGTTTTAGCCCTAAATAAGGGGAATTTATTTGGAGGTAGCATCCTCTAGTATACGTATGCCAAATTCCTTCCTAAATGAAGTTAATTAGTTTAGTTCTTTAGCCTTCGTGCTCAAAAATGGTGGGTTTTAACACTTCAAATTAGAGGTGTTTTCATTTCAATTAGTCGGTATAGCTGCTTCAAGATGGAGAAGTGACAAAGGCAAATGTTTTCAAAATTACCTGTTGTACAAGGTCATAAGATGACCCATAACAGAAATACTCCATGAACAATGGGGCAAATAATTATCAGAAAATTAGTTCAAAGAAAAAAAATCATGTTTAGAATTGATTGGAAAATTGATGAGAAAACTTAATCTGCTTTAAAGTACATTGCCTGTTAATTAATTGAGGGGGAGAGATACCTACATGAAGATTGTCCTCACAAAGACTATTGAAACTAAATTTCTCTTATTATATCATTATTGCTTTGTGTCTTAAGGGCCTTTCTCTGTAAATGAAACTGGATTGTAGAAACAAATGCAGGAGTAGAGAAGTATCTGTGTTACATGCAGCTTGTAGCAAGATACACCAATCAGTACAAAAGGTCTTGGGTGGGGACAGATATCTCTTAGCGCTGCACTAAGAAGTAACACAGAGTGTAGTCCAGTTAATTTCTACTTGTGAATATTACTATGCCAGTGACTATTCCTGTCTGTCAACGGCTTGCTTACTGCCAGCTTTAGAGAGTCATGCAAAGTTTGGATTGTTGCTCAGTTTCCTTATCTGTGCAGTGTTTATCATAAACATATATAAAATAGTGATGTCTGGACATCAGTTGTTCATGTGAGCTGTTTAATCTCAGTAGTCAAAGATTTCTTTGCCTCACTCTTTGCTTTTTCCAAAACACATCTGCTGCAGATACAGTGGGAGGTTTTATTTATCTCCTGAGACTATTTGCAGACTTGCTGAATGAGCCTGTTACTTTAAATGGATTGACCCTTTGACTAATGAGTCATGATTTTCCGGTGCTTAAATACTAATCCAAACTGAAAAACCAATTGGCTGCTGGAGCTCTGGACTGTTGGTTCCAAGTATTTAATTTCACTTTACTGTACCTATGAGAGTATGGTTACTGAAGCTGTCTGGAACGTGAGTCACCTCAGTCTTCTGCTAGGGGTTCGTATATGACTGCTAAAAATGTCTCCCTGTGTGTTTTGTGCTTTTATGTATGTAGTTCTTTGCATCTCTTTTTTTTTTTTCTTTTTTTGGGATTTCAGGGAGACCAGTGTAACAAAGCATACTGTTTACAGCTGGAAATTATATTGTTTTATTTGCAGTATAGCATTTTCCACTGAATGAGTTATTTTTATTTGCAAATACTCAGGTTACTTTTTTTTGACCCATCTTACTGAGTGATGAAAAAATTAAAGCTGTGTGCCTGTTAGTTACAGGATGAAGAACGCAGACGGCAGCAACAGTTGGAAGAAATGCGCAAACGGGAAGCGGAGGACAGGGCCAGGCAGGAGGAAGAGCGCCGACAGCAAGAGGAGGAGCGGACCAGAAGAGAGGCTGAAGAAAAGGTTGTGATCTTCCTAGTGCTGCAGGGGTTCTCATGGGCCTCTCCTCTTTAGCCTGGCCAGTAGCAGCTCTGCGTTGGGTCAGCAGGGGTTGACACACTAGCCCTAGTGCTAACGGTCATGGTCCACGGCTTCAGCTTATCCAATATAAAACAAAAAGTACTTAAACAAGTATCCCATTTGTGGTGGCTGGAGTTGACTGGTATTGCAGACATAGTGCCGTAGGGTTACGGGCTGAAGGTTGTTAGCAGTGGCAAGGGCTTGTCTTCAGAACCTTTTCTGAAAGTTACGGCAGAAAGCTATTACCTCCTGGTTTCCTTGACTTGCCTACCTTCTTTAGTGTAATGGCTGAGTTACTGGTGTAGGGTTTTTCTGTGTCTCAGTGTTGGCACTTAAAAATTTTTGCAGTAATTGTTTTACACAGATAGAGAAATATGAAATACAGTAGAGTGGAGATAAGTACTCCCTGTTGTCTCTTATGTTTGGGCTGTGGGAGGAAAAGGAATTGGTTTCTAGAAAGGAAGTAAATAATTTCAGCAGATGAGTTGCTGTGCAATCAGATTCTAGAAATTCAGGCTCCTGGATTCCTTCAGAACATTATACTTGAATTTGAGAAGCTTTATTGTTCACAGCTGGAAGACAAAGCACCCCATTTGACTCTTAGCATGTTTAAGACCCTCTTCTTCCTAGAGAAAGGACAGTACTATTGTTCAGATTGAAGACTTGCCTGTTAATAACACTGACTTCAGAATGAAGAAAGAGGGTGAGCTGTTAATGTTGAGCGAAATTTCATCTTGGAAGGTTGAGCAAATATTTAAAAAAACAAAAAAACAAAAAAAAACCCCAAAAAACACCAAACCCATATACACGTTCACTTTGTTAATTTGTTTTGTTAGATTGTTTTCAAGCTTTGTTAGACTGTTTTCCATAAGCAGTATGGGTTGATGAGTAGAAGAAACCTAAGCTGAAGGTGGTGATAGTGAGAAGTGAGGAAGGTGTATCTGGACTGAGGAAAGGATTTAAAAATATACCATAGGAAGCTTAAAAAAAACCCCCAAAAAACCAACCAAGGCTTTCTTAATTTCTAACAGTGACGCAGCCAAATGACATTTAGATCTCACAGTTGAAAGGGTTTTCACTGACAGATCTTGACTGAGACACTTGTACATCTGCCAGAACTCAGTACTGTCTGACCACTACAGGGGTTTTAGAGGGTAGTACAAGGAGATGAGTTTTCATGTTTTTGCTCTAGATGATCAGAATTATTTCCTTTTTTTTAATATCTGGCTCACGGTGGTGAGCAGATAAGGTGGATTTTTTTTAAACACATGGATTAAAACCAGAAAGGATGGTTGTTCAAAATGCCATGTATTCCCAGCAGAAGTTATACTTTGCTTAGACAAAAGAGGTTCTGTAGCATATGGTTTCCAAATACATGTTTTAATTCATTATCAAACAAACTACTGAATAGACCCTTGTATTAATTTACAATGTGGCTTAGACAAGAGCTGAGCAGAATTAAATGCTGTTTAGTTTAAAACAGTAAAAATCTTTTAAAATGGAAAAATACATAGAAGATATTTCATGGCCTTTAAAATGGTCAGTAACCTCATTATCATTAGCATAGGGGGGTTTAATTTTTTAGAACTGTTTTTAAAAAACAGTTATTTGATGTCTGTTTTAGAAAAGTTCTTTGTAATTTGATTTCTATGTGCAAGTAGTTTTCCTGGTATTTATACTAGAAGCTTTGTTACAAGTCATCTATTGCAAGGCTCTGTTGATTAATTTACATTGTATAAGCATGCAGCAAAATTACAAAGTTCCTTTTTTAAGATGGTAGTTAATTTTAGTTATTTCCCTCTCCCACAGATTCTTTACAGCTTTAGTAAATCTACCCCTTATTAACTGTAGTTACATTTTGAGTAATAAATGCTGGAATTGCCCTTAGTTCGCGCAGGCAGCTGCCTTAGTTACCAGAGGCAAATCTGGAAAAAAAACGCAACACTGTGTTACAGGACAACTGCTGTGTTGTGGGGTTTTTTTTTGTAGTAGTAAATATCCTTTGTATGAGCCCATATAGATGCCCTGCTTATTGCCAGAAAAGGAGACAAAAAAAGATGTTTGTAGCTTAGTGATGGAAAACTTAACTCTGTCTTGGATTGAAATGTCTGTCTTTCTGACCACTGTGTTTCTGTTTTCCATGGACTTACAGAGGCGACAGGAAGAGGAGTATTACAGTCGCTTAGAGGCCGAAAGGCGCAGGCAGCACGATGAAGCAGAACGAAGATTACTGGAACCTGACGAGCCTGGTCTGTACAGACCTCCGCTTCCACGGGAATATGAACTCCCATCCCCAACCCCTTCATCTAATGCTCCTCCTCCCCCACCTCAGCGAAACACCTCTTACCTCAAAACACAGGTCCTCTCCCCTGACACGATTTATACTGCCAAGTTTGTTGCATACAATGATGATGATGATGATGAGGAGGATTCCAATCTAGCAGGTCAGGATAAGTACTCCAGCACAAGAAAATCTTATGGTGACTTTCCTCCTGCCACCCTTAAGCCACAGCAGCCCTCCCGCCAGCCTCGCCCAGTTTCAGATGGCCTCTTTCTTTCCAACTCATTCCAGTCATCTCCAGTCAATGCCAACAGTACTACTGCCAAAAAAAGCCAGCCCCTGCCCCCACCAAACAAACCGAGTTTCCTCCATGCCAGCAGCTCTAAAGGTAGACACCGTGAAATCATCTCTACAGAACTATCCTTGTGTTTTCAACTCTGGTGCTGTAGATTTAATCTCTTCCTTTGTGATTTCCCCCCCCACACTTAATCACTATTTTCACTATGGTGATCTAACTTAAATCCTGATATTAATATGAATCCTCCAATTTTTAATTGTTCTGATCTCTCAAATTTCCTTGTTCCTTACCCAAACTCTTCAAAAGCAAAAATTCCCTCTTTCACACAATGAATCGGAAATGATTTTAACTTACTCAACCAATTCAAAGTACTGTTGGTTTTGGCTTTCATCCTGTATCTTTCAGTGATTTGTTTTGTATGACTGACCGCTGGTTACTCAGGGCATCTGGAAGCGCACCTTTCTTGAACACAGGAAAACTTTTCTAATGGGTTCATGGACAGAGCTTATCTTCTGCTTTCATTATTGGTACCAGGGTTCTCTCTGACTAGTGTGTGCAAATGGCTTTAAAAATGACCTTGGTCGACGCAGTTCTTAAATATACAAGCACCAAGAGACATATAGGACATACAGTTAGTTTAATGTATAAGGCACCATTCCTGTATTTCTGATTTGTACAGTGCCATTTTCTTGCAAGGAGAGATGAAAATTAAATTTCATCATTTGCCAGTGCTTCTCCTACATTTGTCTTCCGTATTCTTCTGAAGGGAATTGTGGCCATGACATTCCCCTGGTTCATTCTTTTTACTTGTGCTGGAAGTCAACAAATGTCTGACAACCAACTCCAGCTGATCAAATCATCCTTCAAAAATTCAAAGGATAGCAGGTCACCTGAGATAGACAGCAAGGGAAAATGTTTATGCTAGCTTCTTGTGAAATTGTTAACTTGTTTATTGGATTCGTCTCAATGAGAAATGTGGAAGCATACAACATGGTATATCCCTGATCACCTTCTTGGCCACCTAACAAATTATGAAAATCACTTTCTTTAATCAGAGGTGTGGTGTGCCCTGGTCTGATGGAGCACATGAGCCTCGGGATAGATTCTATCTACCAGCAGTATTAGTGTATGAATCTGATTTAGGATATGTGTGAGGCCACGATACTCTGAGCTTCCTCTCTGCATCCTTTTCAATTAAGGCTCAAGTCATTGTTTTCCAGCAAGGCATCCTTTCCTTTGCAGCGCAAATTACCTTCTGCAACAGTTGAACGGCTTCCAGTGCCGAAGAGAAGCTCTGCGCAGCATTGCGTAGTTTTAATACTGCTAAAGGGGCAGTAGTTTAGGTCACTTTACTGTCCAACTGATACAGTTGGTGTTCGGCAGTTTCACTGTTTAGGGTCAGTACAGCATCCAAGTTGCATAAAAAGTATTCACACTGATACTTCTTTAAAGGAGAGAGAGGAAAACAAACAAAAACCGCAACCTGTTTGTTTACCCTGGTGTCTCCTGGGGGATCTGGTGATGTAGTAGTCCCTATGGATCGTGCAAGCCTGTCTGTCACTCTTGTCTGGCTCTGTCATAGGTTCCAAACCTTAAAGGAAGGTGAGGGAAGGTTTTAGCTCTTCAGTGGGTTGTCCTTAGACTGGAGTACAAGTAGACACACTGTACACCACGTGCTATGAGCTGCCATTACAATGCAAATAATTCTATGCTGCCTGCCTACAGTGCACGTGAGCCCACTGATAAACCCATAACCAGTGATCCCAAATCGCGGTTTTGTATCAGGACTCTAGCTTTTGAGCACCTTGTATCACACAGAATTGAGTTAAGATTTAAAACAGACAGGAGATATGCAGAAAAGATTCTCTTTAAGCGCTGTGACTGTCTACGTTGTCAGCTTGTTCTTAGGAATATTCTGAAATGGCAGGCTTCTGACATGAAACATTTGTACTCTGTAGTCTTTCAAAGGACTTTTTTTCCTACAAATTCTTATTTGAAACTGACTATAATAGAGTGTAAAATGTGCCTTCCATCACAACATGTAGGATTTCAAAGGCCCTTGCTTCCCTTCCTTATTTGGCACTTTGAAGGCTGTACATGCGGTGAATTAAGTAACTCTAGAACCATCAGTCACTAGTTGTCACCACCACTCTTCTGCCTCCCATCATCCGCAACCCGGAATGCCATTTCATATGTAACTGCATTTCCCAGCCCTGCTTTCTGTGAATTGTAATGGAAAAATTAATCTCAGGAAAGTGAAATGTTCAGTGATATTTTTTGTGTGTGCGTGTTTGTTTTTCCTGGAAAACAATCAGAAGGACATCCTACAAAGATTTGCTTAGGGTTTTGGTAACCATTAAGGAATATTGTAGTATGATGCTTCGCCTTTAATAACCTAATTCATAAACCATACAACTAATTCTGAATACTCTTATTTCATAATTTTTAAAATAGCCATGAGAACAGGTTAACTTCACCTGATTGCTCAAGCTTCTCTGAAGACTGCCTGCGTAACGTACAAAGCCGTTTGCACAAAATGCAGAATTCACTGTGCAGTTTACCATCTCCCATCTTGCTGACTCTGTTACATTCCTGTCCTTTACAGCTCTCTTCTGTTCTGAATGTTAACTCTAGTAAACCACGCTTCTGCAAATTTTGCTCTCGTACTTCTTCCACTGGGTCTCTTAAGACCACTGGGTCTGTTGACTAACCAAGAAAAAAGCCAGCACCCAAACCAAAACTGGTGTCCTAACGCAGGTGGAAGTGTGAACCACAGCTTGTGGATCCAGACTTCTCAAAGTAGAGAAGGTGGTAGTATTGTATGCGTGTAAGGCTCATGTCTGAAAGGAAAAAAAAAAAAATATTCCTGTGCCTGGCATACCTTGTATGATTTGGTCTGCTACGAATGTTTGGTGGAAAAAATGTAGCCTACAACACGCTAGCTAAATTTACCTGTGTGTTCCAGCCTCCTGTGTCTCTTTATTGAATATTTGTGAGAAGTTACGTATACCAGTGGAAGAAGCAAACATTTCCTTCTGTATCGAAGAAGGTTCACAAGACATAACACATACAATATTGAGACCAGAACTGTCTGAAGACAAATCTGAGTATTGTGCTGACACTTATTTTTACTCTCTTCCTGACAGTTATTAAGAGAATATGGTCTGAAATAGAGATTAAATCATTAAACTTTTTGATTGGAAAGAAAAGGTTTTGTCTTGTGGCCTTTAGAAAGAATTAATATAATGTGTAAAACCTGTGTGTTGTATCAACTTAAACTAAAGGTGCAGTGCTGCAAGATACGTGCTTAAAATTTAAATTTAAGGGCGGGGGGGAAGAGGGCATTTTGAGTGATACAGTTTACTGAATCAGACTAAACAGAGACAAAAATTCTGACTCTACTGAATTGCAAAGATGGATACTAGCTTACTTTTAGCGTGATAAAGAGAGCAGCTGCAGCTAACTTATTTCCTGTGGAGCTTGTTACAGGATAATGCAGTGTGTTGCTCTTTCCGTCAGTCTCCTTGAACAACTTTTAATGTCTGTCTTACAGTAAGCCATAATAAGGTAAAGACCATGATTTGATTGATATGTGCTAGATCAGCTAAACAAGATGTGTTCTGACTTAAAATTAGGAATAAAATTTAGAGCTGTTTTGAGGGGAGGTAGAATTTAGTAGTACTGGTTTTAAATGTTCTGCAGGTCAGATGACCCTCTAAATTTATTTCTGATTCTAGTCTGAGATTATTTCTTGAAAAAAGCACTGCACCTTTTTGGAAAAAAAAAATATAAAACTTTTGTGTTGTAACTGCAGTCCTTCAACTTACTTTTTCTTTTGCATAAGGAATAAATTCATACACTGGATCAGGAGCAGCTGTTGGGGCCCACGAAGTTTATCGGGATCCAAGAGACAAAAGATCTAAAAGGTAACATGCAGGAGTCCATTAACAAAAGCTGACTTGACTAACTTCTGCAGCATTTTATTTCTGGTGGTGATGTGTATCTGTGAGCTGTTCAACAGTTCCGCACTTGGCTCTGGGGTATCTTGGGTTACTATAAAATACAAATAAGTTCTCCACAAGTCTTTAGGTGATCTGAAGTACTACTTCACAGCAGCAAATTTCAGTGCTACAACTGAGTAAACTCAGTACATCATTGTAAACGACAGCTGTTTTAGGTGTATTTATGAATCTGAACAGTACCTCTCAAGTGGGATTCTTAGCAAATTTATAATAGGCATAAATAATATGGGCTGTATCTTATATGTGAGTGGCAAGCTTTACTGTGTAGCATACTGAAGATGTGACTGGGCTTGGCTAGGATTCTGTAGAAGCTGTTAGCCCAGTTCCTGCATTTTAAAACATAGTTAATGTTTCAGTGGACTGTGCAGAGCAGAGACCTCCTGGAGCTGCAAGTGAAACCTCTTCTGATTGAGAAATTGAAATACATATTAAAACTTTATTATATAAGAGTTAGTCACACATGTAAAGTATTGTTACGGCTCCAACTAAGAATGATTTGAGATCTTCACTACAGTGGTCAGAAACAAATAATGCAAAAATTGGTTTCTTGCAAGGATGAGAGATAAGTGCAAGAGCTTAGGCAATGATTGCACTCCCTCCTGGAGACTGTGCTCAGGCACACGGAGAGTAGAGAGGTGGTTGGTGGCAGCCAGAATGGCTTCACAGAGGGCAAATCATGCCTGGCAAATTTGGTGGCCTTCTATGATGGGGTTACAGCGTTGGTGGACAAGGGAAGAGCTACTGACATCATCTACCTGGACTTGTGCAAGGCATTTGGCACTGTCCCACACAACATCCTTGTCTCTAAATTGGAGAGACATGGATTCGATGGATGGACCACTTGGTGGATAAAGGAATTGGCTGGATGGTCGCACTCAAAGAGTTGTGGTCAATGGCTCAATGTCCAAGCGGAGGTCAGTGATGAGTGGTGTTCCTCAGGGGTCGGTACTGGCACCGGCGCTGTTTAACATCTTTGTCAGTGACGTGGACAGTGGGATCGAGTGCACCCTCTGCAAGTTTGCCGATGACACCAAGCTGCGTGGTGTGGTCGACACGCTGGAGGGAAGGGATGCCATCCAGAGGGACCTTGACAGGCTGGAGAGGTGGGCCCGTGTGAATCGCATGAAGTTCAACAAGGCCAAGTGCAAGGGCCTGCACATGGGTTGGCACAATCCCAAGCACGACTATAGGCTGGGCGAGGAATGGATTGAAAGCAGCCCTGAGGAGAAGGACTTGGGGATGCTGGTGGATGAAAAGTTCAACGTGAGCCGGCAACATGCGCTCACAGCCCAGAAAGCCAACCGTGTC